GGATGATCTACTTAGCGATATGGTTTAATGGGGATTAGGGACGGTTGGACTCGATCGCTAAGGTCTTTTCCAACCTAGAAATCTATGCATCTATGACTTGATTCCTACTACAGCACGTATAGAACATTTATTGCCAATAGAGCACGTGGTGTGGATGGAACACACAGTGAAGGAGGACTGAGGACTCGGGCAGGATCCCTGCAGCCGGTCTTCCACCCTGACAGTCCATGTACCAACTGATTCTCGTGTGCGAGCAGCACTTCTTTTGCCTGTTTGGCAGGAGGGATGAGATCTAGCTTTTAGCCTGAAGAATATGAAACGCTCTGCTGGGTCTGATTTAAATGTAATACTGAGCCTGAAACAGGACCACTTCAAAAGGTGGAAGGTTTTCCCTTTAGGTGTCCCTCTGAAAGCAAACAAGGAACTCGAGTTCATTCTTCAGGCTTGACCAAGCTTATTTTGCAAGCCAATGCACTGAATTCTTACTTTCATTACTAATTATTGCTGTGTTTACACACCTGAGCCGTATCATCTCTGTGTTATTGAGCAACTGGCTGCTCGGTTTCTCTGACTACAGGTCCCTAGAGTGCCTTAGGATGCGGTCAGCAAACATTTATTTGCAAGCAGTTAGTGTTTTGCTGTAGATATCTCTGCCTGAGTTCTGCCAAAAATCCTGGCCTCTTCTGAAGTATTGGCTTTTACAGTTTAACTATTTCTAAAAACCCAACTGTTTTTTTTCTTAGCTAAAGAAAGGCTGAAAATACCCCAGAGTAGGTAGGCTGCCTCCTATTTTTATTCCTGAATTAGCTTTATGATGGTGCTTGAATTCCTGCCTTGCTTTGCTTTGGTTTTGATTATGAAAATAGAATGCATCTGTATTTGGGGAAGTTCATCTTCCACTCCCCATAAAAATAAGCTACAGTTAGAATCAAGCTTATTAGCTGGATAGAGACTTTTGTATGCTGAAGTATTTCAAAGGCCATTGAACTCAAAGCATGAGTTGTATAAAAGTGCTCGGAGTAGATGTTTTCCTTTCATTTCCTTTGTTCTGGATCCTTGCTGCAGTTAACTCCAGTTGTTACGCTACAGGCTGCTGCATACAGGATCTTTCATTTGATACTTTTTGGCCATTTTTGTGTCACATAATTGAAAAGGAGTAAATATTTTGAGAAGGGAGAAATGGGATCCAACTTAGTTTTGATCATCTTGTTACCACGACTTCTTTATTCAGCACTTTAATCTTAGAGTTTACTGCCCTTGAGCCTTAAAATCAATCAAATGCTACTCAGCAAGTGGTGCTGTCAGAATCTGTAACTAATTTTTAAACTAATGAGGTCTTGGCTATTTACTTGAATAGTTACAGGTTTGTTTCATCCATTAGGTTTTTGCCTGAAATAAAAAGGGAATGTAAAGACGCCTTCGAATTAGGACATACATCGTCTTCCTTTGAACCCTCGATGTGCAATTGAGTTGATAATTGAATTTAGAAAGAAACCTGTCAGCACTGATGGTTTGTTTTGTAAGATTGTCCTTACACATGAGGAAGTAGTGAAGCAATAAAGTTCGAATCGAAATAAATTGAAAAGCGTAAATATTTGCAATGTCAAGGTGCGGCAGGATTGCCGAAAGGAAACACGGTTTCAATAAAGTCAGACTGGATTTGGAATGTGTTTTTCTGGTTTTTGGGTTTTTTTTTTTCTGTGTTCTAGTTCATCTTATTCTGTTTCACTTCAGTGCTGGGAAATGGGATAAAAGTGAACAGAATAGAATTGAGCAAAATGGAATAGCTGAAACTGAGGAGGTGTTTGTGCCCTCCAAACGTGACCTGTTCTTCCTAAACTTTG